AAGTGCACTCTACAATTGGGAAGTTGGAAGAAGACTATAGTAAATTGGAACTGTTTCAATTGAACGGACGGCAACGTATAGATTTGTTACTAACTTACATTCACTAAACTGTATTCAACAGTTGATGTTTTGAAATTTGTTTTAGTGCTTTTTTTTCTGGTTGACAGTCTTCTTTTGTTTTCTGTTGCCTTTCTTTCTCTTTTACTTTTCTGAGTTGATACCGTTTTCCTTAATTTTTTCCACGTAGCTGAACGGCAGGAAGGGATGGTGGGATGAGACGGAAAAAAAGCGAAGAGCTAACTAAGCGAATGCGTAGCGGTTAGCGGTCTTCCAAATATGAAGGCTAGTTTAGGCTTGAGTATATTTTTTGCTATAACTTTTTTTCTTCTGTTGGTAACTTTCAGCTGTGTGGTTTTTATTTTTTTATACTGAAAGCTATCATTTAGATGTAAAATGGCTGTACTCCTGCTATACAAAGGTGTATTTACATCTTATATTAATGTCATCGAAGAAAATTGTCACCAGTTTGTTTTCTTGCACTAATTTACTGTGCTTTCACGGTTGACAGTTTTTTGAGGTGCGCTATCTAACAATTTTATTTATTCTTATTTGTTAATGAGTTCAAAAAAGAGTGAAGATATGGTATCCACATACAGATTACTAATATAATATTGTTATTCTGCAGTGATGTGCAATTTTTTCTGATGAGCAATCTGCTGTTTTATAACGCAAAAATTTGTTTGTTATACGGTGACATTTTACATTTTTTAATCCTGTTATTAGTAAGCGAAACACAATGAATATTTGCGTAATAGGTGGAGTAGTTGTTAAATTTGAACATCAGAATAAAAACAAGTTCTTTTAATTAGTATTTTTTAGTGGGTTACCTGGGCCGGTGGATTTTTTTTCAATATCTATTTTGTTTATATTGCTGTCCCCTCCCCTCCCCCCCCCCAAAAAAAAAAAGATGAAACAGCTAAATGGAAATGAAGTTCGGACAGCGTTTATCAAGTTTTTCGAGGATCGTGGACATACGTTTGTCAAGTCATCGTCAGTGATACCTTTCGAAGATCCGACACTGTTGTTTGCAAATGCCGGAATGAATCAGGTAATTTATAGAACTATAAACTTTGTTTCTAAATGTAAATAAATGAATTTGTAACTTTAACTGCAATATACAGAAGTTAATCAAACATTTCTTCTTTTATTTTACTGTGTTCCCTAGCTGATTAAAACTTTTTGTTAGTTTAAACCGGCATTTCTTGGCACTGCGGATCCATCAAGCGATCTTGCAAAATTGAAACGAGCCGTGAACACGCAGAAGTGTATACGGGCTGGCGGCAAACACAACGATTTAGATGATGTTGGCAAAGACGTTTACCATCATACGTTTTTTGAAATGCTGGGAAACTGGTCTTTCGGTGACTACTTTAAGGTGACTTTATTTTGCTAATTTCAAATAGAGGCCTCCCTGGTAGTTTTTTAACTAGAGATAACTAATGTTAAATGTTTGTTGAAAAAAAAAAATTTTTTTTTTAAACCAATGAACAGCATGTGTATTCTTTTTTTTTCAACTTTATAAAGATTAAAATGCTTGGAAGCAGTCATACCTGACTTCTTGTTCTCTAGAAAGAAGTATGTAACTGGGCATGGGAATTACTGACGGAGGAACTTGGCATTCCAGGAGATCGTTTATATGTGTCGTATTTTGGTGGTGATGAAAAGTCTAACTTGGAACCTGATGAAGACTGCAAGAAAATTTGGCTTGACATCGGGTTCTTTTCATTTTTGATATATATTTATATATACAGTTTGCTGTTTAGCATCTACTCAATTATTTTCATTTTTTTTGTCGTCGAGAGACTATTGTGGTTTTCTAACTGGTCTCTTTGTTTCGTTTAGTAATTGTTTGGCTAGGATGATTAAAAGTATTCTTAATTTCGTAATCCTACTAGTTTCTTATTGTTGGGACAAGCAGAGTTCTTCTTGTTAATACTGTATTTTTTTTTTATTACCGTGATTACGAAGAGATTTTAGTGTTCCCGAGAGCAGAATTTTACCGTTTGGTATGAAGGATAATTTCTGGGAAATGGGTGACGTCGGGCCGTGTGGTCCTTGTTCGGAAATTCATTACGACAGGATAGGGAACCGTGATGCGTCTTCACTGGTAAATGCCGATGATCCAATGGTTGTAGAAATTTGGAACTTGGTTTTCATGCAGTACAATAGGTTCTTGTTGAACAAATACTTTTGAAGCTCACGTTACTATACCATTAATTTTGTCTTAAAGTGAAGTCATCCTACTTTATATCAGAGACGACGGATGAGCTTTTAAACTTTTTAATTTATTATGCATGGGTCTAATTTGAACTTTTTGTTGTTTAGGGAGGAAAATGGTACACTCAAACCGCTTCCACGGAAACATATTGATTGTGGTCTAGGTCTTGAACGTCTTGTTGCAGTTTTGCAGAATAAGACTTCTAATTATGACACTGATATTTTCACGCCAATTTTTAAGGCGATTGAGAAGGTGCGGGTTTTTACTCTAGTTTGGTTTATTTCCTTTTAAAGTAAATTGCAGGAGCCTAATTACGATCAATTTTCATGTAGAATGCAGGAGTCCGTTCGTACGAGGGAAAGGTCGGAGTTGAAGATGTCGATGGCATTGATATGGCTTATCGTGTTGTAGCGGACCACATCCGGACATTATGCATAGCCTTGGCGGATGGTGGAAGGCCAGATAACGTTGGGCGAGGGTAAAAGATGCAAATTTGGATTTCTTTTGTACTGTCCAGTTGTATTGGATATCTGAGTCTTACTTTTCGCTAATTTATAGTTATGTATTGCGGCGAATTTTACGACGTGGAGTTCGTTACGCAAGTGAGAAGTTGCAAGCTCCACCAAAGTTCTTCTCTTCACTCGTTCCTGTCATCGTTGAGCTTTTGGTGAGTCTGCGCCTTTTTCATTGCATTTAAATAACATTATAGCAATATAATCCCTAGAATTTTTGCTTTTAGGGAGATACGTTTCCAGAACTACGTAAAGATCCGGATACCATCATAGATATTATAAATGATGAAGAAGCCCAATTTTTAAAAACTTTAAACAGAGGTCGATCACTTTTCCACAAGTCTATTGCAGCCTTGCAGAAAGATGACAAGTGTTTTCCAGGTTACGGGTTCCGTATATTGAATTTTTTAGATTTTTAGATATGATAATACGGTTTTCAGCAAGCCTTGAGAATATCTTGCTTTCCTAAGTGTTTTAACATAGTATAACTTTGTTTTTTCGGAACTGGAGTTTTTAAATGAAATTAGTTTCTCAAGTTAACTGACAAGTAAAAATATATTCGAGTCTTCAGGCGATGTCGCTTGGCGATTGTATGACACATACGGGTTTCCAATTGATTTAACTCAGTTGATGGCTGAAGAAAAAGGTTTGAGCGTTAATATACAACAGTTTGAGGAGTGTCGGCAGAAAGCGGTGGTAAGTACCATGGGTTTCGAAAGTGTAGAGGTCAAGGAGTTTAGGGGCTGTAAGCGACAGTTTTTACGTTGCATGTTGTTTGCGCATTTCAAAAACAGCTAGTCACGATAATCACAATTAAAGAAAGAGGTTTTGACTAAGTTTTAAACTTAGTTAATAGATTTTCCATTACGTTTTGTTAAGTTTTTATTTCAGATTTTTTTTATCATTTAAAAGGTAGATTTCTTCTTTTTTTTCATAAATGTATTTCAAGTTATTTATTTGAGGAATTATCAAGCGCGTGTGCTGGAAAGATTCGCAACACGTTAGATATGGATGTTCATGCAATAGCTGACTTGAAATCGAGGGGAGTTCCCTTGACGGATGACTCCCCCAAATACGCATATGTAGCTAGTGAGGAAGGAGGATCGAGTGCCAAATATAGTAGGGGCGTTAAAATATTTTTAAGTATCGTAGAGATTGTTGATGGAAATAAAATTCTAAAACGTACTACCCATCGGATAGGAGGAAGTATTAAACTGTCGTATTTACAGCGTTTTCCTCGAGTAATGGCAAAATCTTAGCCATTCGTGTGGCAGGAGAATTTGTGAATTCTTTGAGCTCTGGACAAAGTGGTTCATTAGTGATGGATAGGACTAATTTCTATGCAGAACAGGGAGGGCAAATTTTCGATACTGGTGTTTTGACGAAGGATGATAACGGACAGGCAAGCCAAGACTTTATAATGATTTTAAGTTCCTAATAAAGGTTTGATGAGGGGTTAATTTTGCCGCTTTATTTTTAGATGTCGGAATTTATTGTGAACAACGTTCAAATTCGTGGCGGATATATAGTTCTCGTGGGATCCGCTGAGGGATGCTTTTCTGTTGGAGATCATTTGAAGCAACATATTGATGAGGTATTTGCAGTCGCATCTGAAATTCTCTTTGTTCTTTATTTAGAGAGATTAGTGTAAATTGTGAAATTATGCTATTACCATAACAACGCGGCATCCTGTAATTGTAAATGATAGGCTTTATAATTATTAACATTTTCAGACACTTTGTACAAATGGTGCGGAACTTCTTTGTCATCAATTTTCAATCAAATCACTTAATCAATTTACTTTTTTTTAGGATAGGCGATTATTGATAATGAAGAATCACACGGGCACTCATGTTTTAAACTTTGCTTTAAGGCAGGTGTTGGGAGATGTGGAGCAAAAAGGATCTTTAGTCGCACCTGATAGATTACGTTTTGACTTTACTGCGAAACAAGGATTGACGATGGATCAGGTTCTTGCTGCTTTTTTAAGTCCTGGTTGAGAAAGGAACCCTTATTTATAAAATCAATCTCACAAAAAGACAACTATCTAGTTAGTATTTGCTACGTTATTTTCAGATCAAAATGGCTGAAGAAATTTCTCAAAGGATTATTGACTCTCAGCAACCTGTGTATGCCAAAGAAGCTCCGCTGGAGAAAGCACGAACTGTGAAGGGACTTCGTGCTGTTTTCGAAGAAGTACGTCATTCCATCGTTACAAATTTCTAATTCAAAGTTGTTTCTTATTTCTTTGCGAGTAACTTCATCAACAAATCCTTTGTTTATGTTGCAGGCGTACCCAGACCCTGTCCGAGTTGTTAGTGTTGGAGTTCTAGTTGAAGACTTACTCAAAAACCCTGATGGTGATGGTGCGATGAGTACACCTGTCGAGTTTTGCGGTGGCACGTAAGTTTTTATTCTGTACCTAGTCGTTACTGGGAAACCTACCATTAAAAGCTTTAATTGTACTAAGGTTATAGTCATCTCCGCAATGTTGGTCATATTGGGAAGCTGGTTATAACAGTTGAGGAAGCCATTGCTAAGGGCATAAGACGGATTGTTGCCCTAACTGGACCGGAAGCAGAACGTTCCCTGCATCGTGCAGAGCGTTTAGAAATTCGCGTGCGTGCACTTACAGAAAAAATGGAAAGCGTTAGTTTGATTGCCGGCGACAATCAGGAATTTAAAACCACAAATAAAGACATTAAGGAGCTTCTTGAGGTGCATTGGAGTCGCTTTTTCTCGGAACAGACGACTCAACTTTGGAACTTTGAAACATCTCGTTTTTCGTTCAGGAAGTCAACCAGACACAGTTACCTTATTGGCGAAAGGATGAACTACGGAAACTGTTGAAAAACACTCAAAGATCATTGGACAAGGCAGACAGAAATGCGAAGGCGCTCATAGCAGAAAAGGTGGTCTTGTATATGGACTTATTCCGTCTTGAAGAAATGCTGATTTCAGGTAGTCGCTGAGGCCAAAGAATTAGATATATCGTTGAATAACTTACAGATGAAGTACTTAGTCCACATTTTTAGCCCCGGAGCAAATGGCAAGGTAGCTTTCATAAATGATAAATCAGTTGTTAATTCAATGATTCATAACATTTTTTGTATCTTGGAAAAAACTATCTATTTACTGCTTATTCGCCTCTCGTCTCTTAAAACTTGGTTGAAGAGGGACTTGAAATGACTTGAAAGTTGCTTCAAATGAATTTTTTTATGGCCATTAGGGACACAGCTTCCGCCGCAATCGACGATGAAAGTCTAGTTATTTTTCCTAGGTTCTGGATTCAGCGTTGAAAGGAATGAAACATGTGAAAAATGCCATGGTCTTTTCTGTGAATGAAGATACAAGTAAAGTTACTGTGATGGCTAAAGTGGATAAGGTGAGCTGTTTTTACCAAGAGTTCAAATTTTTTGAGTCAGCCTCCGTAATAAAGTTTCTGAAGCTGTTCCCATAAGCCTGCTTCTAGTACCCCTTTTATTCCACTGTCTAAACGATGCAATGTTGCAAAGTATAGTTAACTTTCCCGTTGTTGTGACTACAACTTTAAATGTTTTTCCGCTATAAGATGAACACCTCTTGTTCTCGCCTCTCAAATATTTTACAACTTAGATCCTTCAGTTTACTTAATACAAAACAGGAAAAGGAATAAAACGATCAAAAACTCTAGAAGTTTCAGTAATACCGTTAAAATCTAATTCTTTCAGCAGAAGCGTATATCTGAAATCTTGCGATGGGAATTTATTTTGCACGTGTATTTTGCTCTTCTTTTTTACTCACATCAACGTCCAAACACTTATACACTAAAAAACTCAATAAGTTTTAAGAACAAAAGCAATACAGCTGACGTTAATACCATAGTGCCACTTTTTGCTAAGAAGATTTGCACCCTGGGATTTGATAAGGAAGAGGTGGTAGTGGTCTGCAAAAAAGAAGTGCTGTAGTAATGTCCTATTATTCTGACTGCGTAAAAAGGTAGTCAGGGTCCGCAGAAACTCATGTCCTCTAAAACTCCTTCCGCTCACTTAGTGGTGCCTGGGCATATATGCGAATTCTTTTGATGGCAAAAGGTTCCCATAATAAGGCAAGACTAGAGGTAGCTTGTCGAACTTCCGCCGCGCCATGCTTACGGCCCTTTCGGACCATGGTATCCGTCTCTGTTATTAAGATTTGCCTTAGATAAATTGAAGTTTTAAAGCACCCTTGAATGTTTGATTTGCAAGCAACCCCGTTGTTAAGACAGATTACTTTTTTTTGCAGGAAGCCATCGAGAAGGGTTTAAAAGCTTCGGATTGGATAGCGAAAGTTTGTGAGGTAATCGGTGGGAAAGGAGGTGGGAAAGATGCTCAAGCACAGGCAACTGGCGATTGCGTTAGCAGGCTGCCCGAAGCAGTTCAGTTGGCCAATGCTTTTGCTCAACTTGCACTTGACTCTTGATCGGTCCATTAGATATGAAGCAAAAGACCTCTAGTGGAAGCATTCTTTGACTGGAGCCTGGTGAATAAAACTCCCCTTAGTTGCTTGAAGTGCAACCTATGCTTCGTGAAAACTAATAGTTGCAAATGGGTAGATTCTTGAGTACCAACTTTGTTGATTTTCCTTTGTTCTGTTGTCTGTTGTTGAACTTGCAAATATAAAACACTCATTTGCGATAATTATGGTCAAGCTAACGCATCTTACGTCACTTCTGCAACAGTCATGAGAGTTCCTGTTGGACCAAGTTAATCTTGAACAGCCCCACCAACCGACAATTATTTGTGCCATAACAGTGGAAAAATAAATTATGGAAGCAAATGATTGTGAATGTCTCAGGATAAACATTTCTTCACAAATAATAGAGACCCCAAAAATGAGTGTTCAAAAAATCTTCAAGAAATAGAAGAATGAAGTTGTTACTTATACATGTGCAGGTCAGAAGCTGCTAATCATTATCATCTGTTATTAAAGCCATCAATAAGCATGGTTTTTAAAGTGCTCCACCGCGGTTGCAAGTGTGGCACGAAATATCACCTTAACAATCTTATCTTCTGATAATAAATGCAGCAAAATAAAAAATGCAGAGACCCGTACGTGTGCAATTGAAAGCGTATCATTTTCCAGACGGCAGCAGGCATGAAAGTTTGTTTTTGAAGCAAGAACCGGTTCACCCTTGACCAAATGCACCAACAGCAAGTAATAAATTCCGACGAGTAAAATGAAGCCCGACAATTGGTGTATTCTTCGTTGCATATGTAAACAGATGAAACCCACTTGGATTGACCCTTAAAAACAGAAAAAATTATTGGAACATTTCTTTCAAATGAAATGAGTTGCGCAACAATAAAATTCAAAAGACAGTTTCAAAATCAAAAAAAAAAAA